TCATTTATTTTAATTTTGCAGCTGTTGTGAGCATTGACAAACCTAGTTCGGTTTTCGGCATTGGGTTTTTTGCGCCACTGCTGGTAGGCGAGATTTCTGGAGGCGATAGCTTGCTCGCAATTTTCGTTGAACCATGGTTGGCCGTTAGGTCGTTCCATTGAAAAAGGAATATATGCATTTATGGATGATAGAATAACTTCCGTGACCTCAGAAGCACCAGTCGATTTTTAGAGCCGAAACAAACATCTAGCCAGGGAAAATTTTTGAAATGGTCTTGAAGATTCTCCTATTCAGCTGATCTGTAATACCAAATCCTGTGCGGCTTAGATTGTTCACCAACATTTATCGGTAATTCACTCAATGAAGACCTTACGATGACTGTGTAAATTTATGGATTGGTTGTTAGGTATAGATTCAAAAGACTAGCATATTCTCCATCACGGTGAGGAATCCCGCTTGGCCCATTTTTAATCTAAGTAACTTTCACAGCTCATTTCAAAAGCTCCAGCGTCGCGATCTTGTTGGTCGTTGATATTTGAACATATGTAAATTCCAGCAGTGATTTGCAGAAAGTCAGTGGTGTTTGCAAGTGAAGAGAATAGAGCTCTATAATGTGTATCGCTTGGTGGTCGCTAAACGCAGCATATGAATTCAGTTACCATCTGTAATATTATTTTCAACCACATAATATCAAAGGTTTGGGGTCAAATCATTTACTCCCTTTGTCAGTAGAGATCGCTTCTGATAAAGAGAGATAATTCTAAAGTTACGTCTGAAACGGGAGTGGAAATCATAGCCGGGATATAGAAAATTGACGGGGTTTGTTGAAGTACTGATTTTCGTTTCTGTTAGTGCAACAATATGAGGACTATTTGATTGCAGATGTTGGTGCACTAAGTTTATAATTGAGTCTAGGCCTCTGATGTTGCAGATATCGATTTTGAAGTTGCTAGTGGGCCTCTCAGCAACTGTAGTTACCATATTTATGGGATAGCAAATGGAAATGCGGAAGAAGCACGTTGGCTGTGATGCCCTCTGAGATGCTACTGGACTTAATAATTTCAACCTAGTTCGGGCTAAATAAGCGCCTTATCACATCAAATAACTGAAACGACTCAAAGAATCACCCTCTGAAGTTTCGTACCGTAGTTAGGAAACCCCTGTTGAAAAGGATAGAGTTGTAGTGATCGGACCAATTGTACATGTGCATTGATGGCATAAAAAGTATTGGAAAGGTTAACAATCTCGAAAAGTGCGTGCACTTCCATGTGAATGGTTAACAGAAACTGTCACGTTCCGAGGTCTATCCTCCTTTGCTTTTGCGCAGCGAAAACGATCCTTTTTCAGATCGGATCGTCATTTGTGATGAAAAGTGGATCTTCTACAGCAGGAGACGTTGAAAGCGATAGTTGGACATTGACAAGCCACCCAGGCACTTCCCAGACGCGAAAACCCACTAAAAAAGACCACAGCTACTGTATGATGGTCAGCGGCTGGTGAGATCCACTATAACTTTCTGCAAGGCCCATCCGCATGGTTCACAAAATCACTGTCTGAAAATTAAACAAATTGAGCATCGAACTCCTGCCTCAGCCACTATACTCCCCAGATCTCTCACCAATCAACTATCATCTTTTCAAACACTTCGATAACTTTCTCACCGGTAGAACCTTCGCCAATCAATAGCAGGCAAAAACGACCTTCGTCGACTTCATCGAATTCCGATCAACCAATTTTCATGCTGACGGAAGCAATCGACTTGTGTTACGTTGGTAAAAGTGCACTGTTTCTAATGGATCTTATTGGAACAACCTTACATCATTGGTCAAAGGAAATGTAATATCAAGTGCATGAAACATTTACTTTCATTTCTGGAAGCTTTCCTGTGATTTGTTTCAGCCACCTATCTCAACAAATTTGAACGTTTGATTTTCTCCTCTTTCCTTCATTCTCAGCACTATATTCGCAGCAGCAGCACTATAAGAAGTTCTGAATAACAAGAAAATTTAATGGTGATCTGAAACATTTGGTTCACCCACTAAGACAGTCGAATGTAACTATATCAACAATATGAAATTGGAAAAGAAATAGAAATTTACTGTACATAGATCAATTCTGATACTTTATACATATCTACACATATTTGAAGGATAAACTTTTAAACAAAATTGCATCCAAATACATATTCTAAAATGGACGTAGGCAAAATATCAGATTTCAAGGTCCAGCAGAAATAGTTCTCAATTAAAATTAAAACTGAATGTCCAATTACCGAAACGATACACACTCTGTCTCTTCAATATCCCTCAACCAATTAAAATAATCAATTATAAACATAAATGAACTAGAGTGCATTCTTTTATGATGTAATTGGAGACGCGAATGGTGCCTATTAAACTTGATTATGGCAATTAGTGTCTCACCCTCTGGGAGATACAATTTGGTAATGACATCGTTAAGTTGAATAAATAATATCACCACTTCAATTCTATTGGTTGTCCGTATACAATAGACGTTTATCAGTCAGCCATGAATAAACCCTCAATGCCCTTAGAAGCAAATATTGATTATTTATGGAATGCCAGTTCGAAATTTAATCAAAGCGTTAGTTTTGCAATATTTTGTTCTTCAATTTCGAAACTTATATATGTACAAATGGGAAAAATGTTCAATTGAAATAACTTCTTTCCAGTGCGGAATTGTACAAAAGTAGCATTTCATTTGTTAATTTGTATTGCTTGCATATGAAAATTGAAATATATATCGTTTTTGGTAAATGACACCTTATATAATGGATGGAAAAGTAGCAATTAGCAACAATTAGTTGTCATTTATTCAGTCTGTTCATTGTTGACGGCTATTTGTTTTATTATGTTCAGTTCTTTATTGAAATTCGCCTCTGACAAGGGCACATTTATTAGTCTGAGGATCATACTGTGTTTGTCACAGAATTACTTCCAATTTAATTGAATTTTTTACTCATCCTGTAAAGGTTTCTTAATGGGAAACCCACTCAGTCCTATTCTGTTAGAGATTTTCATGGAAGATTTGGAGAGAAAAATACACAGTAACCCAGTGGTTACAAGTTTCGTGTATTGGTACAGATATGTGGATGATATCCTGGTATGTTTTACAGGAACGAACAGACAGTTTTTGAATTTTATCAATTATCTCCATCCTTTTATCACATTCAGAATGGAGATGGAAAAAGACGACCCTATACATTTTTTGGACTTGACAATAACAAAAGTTAACAAAAAACATGATTTTCCATGTATCGTGTACATACAGATATTATCATTCATAATTCGTTCACCCTCCCGTATTAACACAAAGTAGTAGCTTTCAACGATATGATCCACATACTGATAAATGGGCCCTTGTCAGAGTCGAATTTCAATAAAGAACATTGATTACTATAGTAGTAGTAGTAGTCTAACACATGCCTTATTATCAAAAAAAGTATACAGCCAAGCATTGACAATAGGGGAGCAAAAGCGGGTATTTCGGGATTTACTAAAGCGCGGCAGATTAGTATACAGGGGGATACCTTGTACCCGGTTAAGTACCTCCACCAAATATGAGCCCCATTTATAAAGCCGCCTATGAGGGATAAGGGATCAAATTAGTAAAAAAAATTGATCATCCGAAATTCTTGAGCGCGTCAGATTAAGGTAGGGTGACTTAATTACCTGCTAAAAAGTGTATATTCCAGCAATCTGACAATTTGAGAGTGACGTAAAGAAANATGTATTCACAGGTGTAAAATCCTTTTTAATTTGATTCAAATGACGTTTCCATATCATTCCTTCAGTTGTTCGAATTTTGAAACTTCGTTTCCCAAAAACATCTATAATGATACCTTGACACCACTTATCAGAATTATGTCTAAAATCGCGAACCCAAACTTCGTTTACCTCGAAGTTTTCCCTTTTTCTCCCCTTGAAATTATTAATTTGAATGTTTTGTTTCCTATTGACTGTATTTTTCACAGACGGAAAAAATAAATCGAATCTACATTCAATTTACGTCCTAGCAACAATTTTGCTGGGGTTTCACCTATCGTAGTTTGAGGAGTATTTCTCTAATGGAACAGAAATCGATTTATTATTAAATTCAAATCAATATTATTGCTATCGTGTTTTGCTTTCAAAATTGCCTTTTTCATGATTTTAACTGCATTCTCCGCTTGTCCGTTAGTTGCATGATGGTAAGGAGAGCAAAGGAACAACCTCGTCGCCAATGTTCTGTTTTGATATTAATTTGAATATTCTAACAGAATAATGTAAATAAAATCCAACTAATTTGAATTAGACTTTATTCATTACTGTGTTGAATAGGAAAGTCTGCGATCGTCGGTCGCAAATCAGAATATAAAAAAATATAAAAAATACTTAGTTTTTATAATGCTTTCCTGACCACAGATACAGAGTGATTCATACATATATAACAAAGTTGAAATGTTTTGTAGTATTGAAAGTGAAATAGAGTTGTTTGATTATTGTTCAGTGTAGTCAATTATTTGTTAACCCTCGGGGAAAAACATATCAGTACATTTTAATTCAGTTGTCCATATTTTCTCTTATCACTCCTTCTTAATTCAAGTACTTATGTCATTGTTTCTACGCTAACTGGTGAATAATTTGTGAAAATTACAAAATTATTGAGAAAAAGTTGACTGGAAAAAGTGAAAAGTTCAGTTATTTTCAAAAAAAGAGCTTAGGTTTGGTTACTTGAATGACATATTTGATTTTTAGGTCTGGTCCTAGTTCTAGGTGATTCAACAAAACCAACCAAAAAACGCAATATTGTGAATTTGGCTGATACACACTGTATGTGAAAATTTCAATTAAAATCCGTGGATTTTCAAGTATGGACGTGAAACAACAACGCTGCATGTAGGCAATTCAAAGTATTACCCCATGTTCTCAGACTATTAATATCCGATTTTTTCATACTCGTCCAGCGAAATAATCCCCTCAGAGACAAATATAACTTACAATAGACGTTCAATCTCCACTTGTCCTCCAGGGCGCTGTCAGAGATGGACGGATTCTCCGCTCGACAAGTCAAGTATTTGCCGTCGTCGTCGATCACTGGCACGAATGTCAAAATGCTCAGGCTCTGATTGTTCTGCTCCGAGAACTGAAACAAACGAGGGTTTATTGGTTTTTAATTTGTCTGGCGGAGCCCAACATTACTGTGAGTTGTGGGAGTGGCTGTGCGACAAGAAATATTTTGGGAAATCTATTTAAGTGAGTTAACGATATTAGTCTCCATTTTTTTAGGAAATTGGAAATTCTATTGGAGCTGGAGAATTTTTTTTCGATGATGTGAAATGGAAGGATATTATTGAGGTAGTGTGGATGAATTAAATAAAATTGATAGGGCTGTTTTTCCAACAAAAATTAAATGGTTAAATTTATTATCAGAACCCCTCACTAAACTGATCAATCTATGTTTTTCATTTGGAACCTTCCCGGATGTATTTGAAATAGCAAAAGTTATTCCTATCTGTAAGAGCAAAGACAGAGACATTCCTTGAATCCTCATTTTCCACCAGAAAACTTAAATACTCTGTGAAAAATAGAAACCTTGGGATTACTGAAGGTTTAATGCTATAGAAATGAAGCAAAATATGTAGAAACAGCTATCAAAAAATAATAGTTACACAGGTGTTCTACATCAATACAAACAATATAAAAATGGCCCCACTATCTCAATCAAAACAATCAAAGACAATTATTATATAAGCAGAAAACCAAACAGGATAAAAATAATTCCACGTACTTGTGGCAAACTATCAAAACATCAACATTGTCAACAATAATAGAAATATATCAAACAAAAATTAAATATCGAACATTTTCAGTGAACACTTCGCTAATATAGTGTTGTAAATCATGCCTTAAAGAAAATAACGCCGGCCGCCACTGGTAGCCATAAACCAGTTGTGACATAGCTGAGAGCGCGCGAATGTACGATGTTCGCTGCTATTCTAGATGTAGCAAGAATAATGCTACCTGATTCGATGTTCCGGCGCCTTCGATTGCCAAATATAAAGGCCATTGACTCAGTCAAGTGGAAGTTACAGTACGGTACGCGAAGCGATCTAGTAAGGCGATAGATATTCGAATAATAGTTGCAGTTTCAGTTGGAGTGTTTGTTGCATTTGAAGTGAAATGAAGTTAGGTTTGATTATTGTTCAGTGTAGTCAATTATTGGTCAATCCACGGAAAACGTAACATTTGGTGTCGGAAGTGGAATAAATGACTGAAAAATTTTCTGTCCCATGGTGAGAACAAGAAGTGCATTGGTTCCTCTCTTTCTGTTGGTATATATGAGCTCCCAACACGACGCAACAGGTTACAGATCATCCATGTTGATAACTAGTAGGGAACTGAAGATTCCGATAGATGTATTGTTTCGCAGTCCTTCCGATGAATCTCAAGTGGTACCCCTTTCAGAGAATGTGAATGACCTGAAGGAAATTGTACACAAACGCGCCATCCACTCGCTCATCGAGACAGTTAAGTGGAAGTTATAGTGTGGCACGCGAAGCTATCTAGTAAGGTGATAGACATTCGAATAATTGTTGAAGTTTTAGTTGAAGTGGTACTTTACTAGTTCCTGCTTGTCAATTTCCCTTCCAGAGATTCTCACTTTTCTGGCCGGAGAAAATAGTATTCTTCCCATGGTTATCGCCTAGGTCTCTTCCGGGTTCACTCGGATCTTCCATTCGAAGTACCAGCGCTCGAGGTTGTCCAATGCGCGTTGCATGTAGACGATCCCGAGCTACCGACCCATGGAAGATGAGAGGAGAGCCGTGTCGTCAGCGTAGAGGGATACCTTCACATGCTCGGACTTCGGAAGGTCACTGGTGTAAAGAGAATACATCGTGGGAGAGTGCACGGCCCCCTGTGGCGAGGATCTTTCTGTTGCCAGACAGAGAGCCCTCTACTTCAACCTGAAATGTTCTGTCTTTCAAGAAAGACCCAATCCACCGGATCAGGCTCTGAGGCAGGTCGAACACAATTAATTCATGCAGAAGGCCTTCGTGCCAAAAAATTTCGAAGGCCTTTGAGATGTATAAGAGGACGATATGAACTTTTCTATTTCGGATCAGCTCCGCTATGGTATTTTCGACCAGTCTCAGAGCCTGTAACTCAGTAGTATCCACCACAGTTCTCTCAGTAGGACGATTATGACGATCGTAAAATGTTTGAAGCACGCGGTACGTTGCCCGAACATAACACCCATTTCAATAGAACAATCTCACTACTTGCACGTGTTGTTTCGTCCACGTCGATTCGGAAAAACTGAATAGCAGATGCTCCTCCAACAAAATGGCCCCGTCTTAGGAATCACACGTTAAAAGGTGAGACTTTGTTAGTCCTCAGTTCGCACAAGTTTCGACTTCTGAGGGTTGTCGTTCGTAGGGTTGGGACAGCTGGTTAACGAAAAATTTGATTTTGAACAGATTTTTTTCAATTGCCTAAGTTTGAACCCTATACAAGTGACAGTTATTTCCACTATTCAACTTTTATAACTGAAATACTCGTAGTAGAACAAGATGACAACGTTACGGAAATACCTTCACATTATGCTGCTTCTCTTCGTCAATTCCCAAATGGAGCGTTTTCTGGAAGATGGTTAGGCATGCTAATTGATATAAATGTATTCTTGATAAATTTAAGGAGAGAAAAGGAAGATATGATGTTGAACTCTTGCAAACAATCTGTGATTTTTCGAATATTTCTACTAGTAGTGAAACAACAAATATCGCAAAGTGATTTCATTCAGAAGAAGACGAATTACTCCAAGCATCACGAACTGAATAAAAACGGAAAAAAGAAACCGGAAAGGCAATTCCTGCGACTAATTCGAACGATTCGCTATGAAAAGTGGTCTATATATTTCCACTGTAATTCAATGTAACAAGAACAGCATCTCCCAGAGCTCATTAACTTTGAAAAATTCCATCCGTGTCTGAAATCGTTTGTTACGCATACTTTTGTGACGGCATCTTTTCACTGAAGTTGGAAATTCTTTACAGATTCCTTTCCTTTATTCAATATTGAATGGGTCGCATCTGACAAAAGGGAAAAGCACAGCGCGGTGATTAGGGTGATTTCTTATCCAAATACACAAAAAGGTGGAATCCACTGTCTGCAGCATCCAGGAGAATAGCTAGTTTTGTTCCAGAAGGTTTTATAGGACTGGTCACGGAAACAGACGAGTCCTTCCGTTTGACCCTTATTTATTTTCGTAAATAGCGAGGGACTTTGTATAAGCAATGCATTTGAATTTGTTACGTAAAGAAGCTGAAACGTGAAATGCAAGATCTCTCACCAATGATAAATTACAAGAAATATGTTGTAGGAAATTGGTGAAAATCCATAGTAATTTCGAAAACTACACCTCACGATTTTGGAAAATATATCACAACATGTTTCGCTAGCACAGTAGCCTTTTCAAGTGTGCTAGCAAAACATGTTGTGTTATATTTTTCGAAATAAAATTTGTGAAGATCAAATCGTGAGGTATAGTTTTTGAAAATTATTTCAATTCAAGTTATGTGATGAAATCGGAAGATACGAGATGAAAATCCATAAAGTGTTAGAAAAACACTTTATTGTGGAATCTTCACTACACTGTTTACCAAACCGCAATGCGTGTTTCATTAATGAACACTACAGGAAAATCCGTAAGCCACTCGAGTTGTGCCTGAGCGGAAGTAGCGATACACGTTGGATTTCAATCGCTGGAGATTGAATGCATTTGGAAAAACGTTCATTCCACATATACGCAGTTCTCCAAATGAACGAGTTCTTGAACAGTGGAGCTCAAGGTATACTGAGTTGAACCTCAAAACGATGAGCAACCGCAGTCGCTCTTGATGGAATCAAATGTGCCAATTCACTTGATCACATTCCGCGATATTATTATATCCGGTTCGGAGACATTTATCTTTTTGGAGAAAACCGATGCCGAGGTTTTCGTGGCATTGGATTGAACGTCGAGATCCTCATTAAGATATGCAACCTTCTGCTGCCGGTGAAGATGTGCATCCACAGCCGATCCTGCAATCCAAATGGAATGATGAGACAAGTGTGCTGTCGTCGGCAAAGGGTTGGAGGCAATATAGATCTCTGGGGAACACCAGCGTCGATGGTAAAAGTCTTCGAAAGATATCCATATGACGGCCACTTACAGGAAACGTTCTTTCAAAAATATGAGGAGCCATACACAAAAATGATCCGACAAGCTATATCATCGAAGTTCGGCTAGCAAACTATCATGCCACACACGGTCAAAGACTTTCCATGGACCACATGTAGCTTTCTGTGCTCGAAGCAGCTAGTCTGATTGGTTACTTAAAAAACGGAAATGATTTTGATTCAACTCACTCCATAGAATTGTAATTGTATTGGAATAATTTCGTTTGAAATGATGTGTTCTTCTCTTCAATATATACTATTTTGCAAAATAGAAACGGTGAATCAAAGAAACTGAAATAGTCAACTTCCGTCATCCACAAACATTTTGACAAAGCTTGATCGTTGTTTAGATTTCAGTACACCGATCAATTCACCTTTGAAATTCGCAACTTTTTTGTATTTCAACCAATCTTCCAACTATGAAGATTGCTGAGATACTGGTAGTGACACGCTTTATAAAAGCAACCTGTGAAAGTAATACGTAAAAACCAATATTATCGAGTTTTACCAAGATCGCTCTCTGGCTTACAGAGACAGGCTTGTCTGGCTATCAGTGGTGCCATCACTACCACACCGTCAGCGGCCATGGATATCCTTGTAGATCTACCCCCTCTCCACATTTGTCTGGAGAGAGAGGCTAGATGGACTGTATTCAGACTTATGCATATTGCCAATTGCACAAATCAATTTATTGCAGAGTGCAACAGACTGTTGGTTGACACTGGAAGTCACAGCATTCTGGAAATGACCTCTGACTTTATTTCTCCAACTGTCAACTACGAACTGTCTTATAAAAAACTGTTCCCGAGTAGAGAGAACTGGATCCTTCGGGAGAAGGAAATATTAAGAGCAGATAGTTGTTGGTTCACAGATGGATCAACAACACCTTCCGGTTCTGGTGCAGGTGTTTTTAGTCGCAGACCC